GTGATCATTTTTATCTGTATCTGCCTCAGCTTCTCTGTATTCCTGTTCTCTGATTTCTATTCCATTAACAGTCTCTTGCACCTCATCCCATCTGCTCTTAAGTCCTTCCAGAGATTGTTTTATTTCTCTATTCTCCCTCCTGACTTGATCCCTTAGCTCTTGCATATTTATCTGCAGATCCATCACCATGGTTATGACCTTTATTTTGAATTCTTTTTCAGGAAGATTGGTTATATCTATCTCCCTACGCCCTCTCTTGGGGGTTGTCTGGGTAATTCTAGACTGGGCCAAATTCTTCTGCCTTTTCATGGCCATAGAGGTAGTCGCAGGCAGGTGCTGCATGTGTCAGCTGGGAGAAAAAAGTCCCTTCCTGCTTGCTGGTCACCTTGCTGTTCTCCATGTCCTGTGTCAGTTACCCGCATACTTCGAGCAATCTCCGGGTTAATCCCCTGAGCCACTGCAGGCAGGGCAGCCGTAGGGGTAGCCCCGATCCCTGAATGGAGGGGCAGGTGCACCAGGTCTGCTCTCCTGTGAGAACAGCACCCCTTCGTGCTTTGACCCAGCCTCCTCTGCCTGGATCAGGCAGGCACATGCCAGCAGTGGCCTCTGGGTCTGGCCCAGGCAGCTGCATTCTGGGGGAGGCTCTGGGCAGGTGCTCTCCAGCTGCTCGACCACTGTAGCGGGGCCATGCCAGAGGGGGAATGAATGGCAAGCTGCTTATTGCCATGAGGGGCTTCAGGACCCGTTACCACCCAGGAGGCTGGGATGCCTGAAGTTCCTCAGGATTACCAACCTGCTGGGCTGTGTGTGCCGGGATGATTCCGCCCAGCTGTGAGGCCCTTGTCCCTTTAAGACTTTCAGAAAGCACTCTCTTTTCTTTTGTCCTAGATATTACTTTTCTGTTTCCCTAATATCCAGCACACCATGCAATGTGTGTCTTCACTCCCGGTGCAGATTACCAGGAATGGTTATTTAGCAGTTCTGCCCTTCCACTCCCTCCCCACTCCAACTCCTTTCCTCCTGCCAGTGAGCTGGGGTGGGGGGAGCACTCAGGACCCACCAGGCCGTGGCTTGTATCTTACCCACTTCATGAGATGCTGAGTTCTCAGATATGTATAGATGTAGCCTGGCTGTTGTACTGTATCCTCTGGTCTCTCTTTTAGGAATAGTTGTATTTGTTGTATTTTCAAAAATATATATGGTTTTGGGGGGAGATTTCCACTACCCTACTCATTCCACCATCTTGTGTCCTCCTGCTGTTGGTGTTTTGATTGGGATTGCATTGAATCTTTAAATTGCTATGGGCAAGATGGCCATTCAGACAATACTCTTTCTACCCATGAGCACAGGATAGATTCCATTTATATGTGTCTTCTCTAATTTATTTCATGAATGTTTTATAGTTATCAGAGTACAGGCCCTTCACCTTGGTTAGGTTTATTCCTAGGTATTTCATGCATTTTAATTCAATTGTAAATGGAGTTGTTTTCCTGTTGCTGAATCCACTAATTAGTTTCAATAATGTCATATGCAAATAGAGACAGCCTAATTTATTCCTTACCAATTTGGATGACTTTTATTCTCTTCAACTTGTCTGATTGCCATGGTTATGACCCCCAGTACTCTGTTGAATAAAAGTGGTGAGAGAGGACATCCATGTCTTGTTCCTCGTCTTAGAGGAAAACCTTTTATCCTAGAGCCAGTATGATGTTTAATGTGGGTTTGTCATATTATGGCCTTCATTATGTTGAGATATTATACCCTCTAAACCCATTTGTTGAGAGTTTTTACCATGAATGGGTGTTGAACTTTGTCAAAAAAGTTTTTCAGGATCTATTGAGATGACCATGTGCTTTTTACCCTTCTTTTTGTTAATGCGGTATATGATATTGATTGATTTATGAGTATTATACCATCCTTGCACCCCCTGGAATACTACTTTGTTGTGATGGATGACCCCTTTGATGTATTTTTAATTCTGTTTGTTAATATTTTGATGAGGATTTTTGGGATCTATATTCATCAGACATATTGTATATAATTTCCTTTTTTGTGGTGTCTTTGCCTGCTTTTGGTATTAGAGTGATGCTGGCCTCCTAGAATGAGTTTGGAAGTATTCCCTCCTTTTCTACATTTTGGAATACTTTAAGAAGGATGGGTATTAGCTCTTCTTTAAATATTTGTTAGAATTCAGCTGTGAAGCCATCTTGGCCTGCACTTTTGGTTTCTTGACTACCAGTTCAATTTCATTTCTGGTAATTCATCTGTATAGATTTTCTGTTTCTTCCTGGGTAAATCTCGGAAGGCTGTATTTTTCTACATAGTTGTCCATTTCTTCTAGGTTTTCCAATTTATTGGAATATAATTTTTATAGTATGCTTGATAATTCTTTGTATTTCTGTGGTATCTATTTTGATTAGTCCTTCTTCATTTCTGATTTTGTTTATGTGTGTACTCTCTCTTTTTTTCTTTGTAAGTCTGGCTAGTGGGTTATCTATTTTGTTTATTTTCTCAAAGAACCAGCTCCTGTTTTCATTGACTTATTGTATTGTTTTATTCTTCTCTATTTTACTTATTTCTGCTCTGTTCTTTAATATGTCTCTCCTTCTACTAACTTTAGGATTCATTTGTCCTTCTCTCATTAGTTTCTTAATTGTGAGTTTATATTGTTTATTTGGGATTGTTCTTTTGATTGAGATAGGCTTATATTGCTATGTACTTCCCTATGAGATCTGCCATTGCTACCTCCCAGATTTCAGGCTGTTGAATTTTTGTTTTTATTTTTTTCCCTGTATTGCTTGATCAATGGACATTGATCCATTGATTATTTAGTAGCATGTTGTTTAGCCTCTGTGTGTTTGTAGTGTTTTGTTTTCTTTGTGTAATTTATTTCTAGTTTCATACCATTGTAGTCTGAGAACCTGCTTGATACAATTTCAATCTTTTTAAATTTATTGACGCTCTTTTTGTGGTTTAGTATGTGATCTATTCTGGAGAATGTTCTATGTACACATAAGAAGATGTGTATCCTTCTGCTTTGGGATGGAATGTTCTGTATCTTTTAAGTCCATTTGATCTAATGTACTATTCAATGCCTCTGTTTCCTTATTTATTTTCTGTCTGGTTGATCTCTCTATTGATGTATGTGGTGTGTTAAAGACTTTTAAAATGTATGTGTTACAATCTATTTCCCCCTTTAAGCTGGTTGGTACAATTTCACTCCTTTTGAATTTACTAAGGTTCTTTTTGTGGCCTAGTGTATGATCTATTCTTGAAAATGTTCCATGTGCACTTGAGAAGAATGTGTATTCTGCTGCTTTTGGGTGTAGAGTTCCGTAGATGTCTGTTAGGTCCATCTGTTCTAATGTGTTGTTCAATGCCTCTGTCCCCTTACTTATTTTCTGTCTGGTTGATCTGTCCTTTGGAGTGAGAGGAGTATTGAAGTCTCCTAGAATTAATCCATTGCATTCTATTTCCCCTTTTAATTCTGTTAGTATTTGTTTCACATATGTAGGTGCTCCTGTGTTGGGTGCACAGATATTTATAATGGTTATGTCCTCTTGTTGGACTAACTTCTGTATCATTACATAATGTCCTTCTTTGTCTCTTATCACTTTCTTTGTTTTGAAATATATTTTGTCTGATATAAGTAGTGCTATTCATGATTTTTTCTCCCTATTATTTGCATGGAATTTTTTTTTCATGTCTTCACTTTTAGTCTGTGTACATGTATAGGTCTGAAATGAGTTTCTTGTAGGCAGCATATAGATGGTTCCTGTTTCTTTAACTATTCTGCCACTCTATGTCCTTGGATTGGTGTATTTAGTCCATTTACATTGAAAGTAATTATTGATAGGTGTATACTTATTGTAATTTTATTATTTTCTGCCTGTTTTTTATAGCTCCTCTCTATTCCATTTTTTCTCTCTTATACTCTTCTCCTGTGTTTGATGTTTTCCTATAGTGTTGTGATTGGATATGTATTTACTTTTTTGTTTGTTTTGGGTGTGTGTGTCTGTATATTTATCATAGGCTTTATTTTTCTGGTTACTGAAGTTTCCTTACTATAAAATAGTCTACATTAAATTGCTGATTACTCTACTTCAAACACAATTTAAATGTTTTTTTTTCTTCCTTGTCCACATTTTTTGTATGAGATGTCATAATCTGAACTTTTTGTATATCCCTTGACTGATTTTGTGTATAGTTAATTTTCTTAAAGAGACTTTTTAACCTTTTGTCTTTCTCTTCTCCTTCTGATGCCCCTGTTATGTGAATATTGTTTTGTTTGGATTGGTCACATAGCTCTCATCATTTTTTCATTCCTAGGGATCCTTTCTAATGTCTGTTCCTCAGCTTCTTTTTTTCCCCTGTTCTCTAATTTCCATCTCATTTACTGTCTCCTTTACATGTTCTAATCTGCTCTTAAATCCACCCATTGTATGTTTCATTTCATGTATTATATTCTTCAGCTCTGAGTGGCTCTTTTCAGATTTTCTATCTCTTTGTTGAAGTCCTCCCTGAGATCTGAATACTTTTCTGTAAATCCATGAGCATGTTTATGACTTTATTTTGAAGTCTTTATCAGGAATATTGGTGATCTCCATTTCATTTAGCCCACTTTCCAGATTTCTGCCCCCAGTTTTGTTTGGCTCATATTCCTCTACCTACTCATTTTATCAGTTTGTGCTTTTTCCTTTGTATTAGAGGTCTCTGCTATGCTTCCAAGCCTAGAGTAATAGCTTTATAAATTAGGCATCTTATGGTACCCAGAAGCTCAAGATTCTCTACTTGCTAGTTACCTGTCCTATTTTGTGGGGTCCACAGGTGTTGGCATGGAGTGAGCAGGGCATCTTTCTCTCTGTGCTGGCAATTTGCTTCAGATTACAGCTTTGTGATCAGTTCAGGGGTCTCTGTTGTGCTTGCTGTTGGTGGGGGCAGCCCTCTTCCTGGCTTTCAGCAATGGTGGAACCAAAGGGATAAGGGGTGGGGAAGCCTACCTCCCCAGATGGGCTGCAATGGAGCCAAGGAAGCCGGGAGAGTCTCCTTCTTCCTGCCAGGCAGCAATATCTGATGCTGAAGCTGGGCCAAGTGGGTTGGTTCCTGACAGCATGGACAAGAAGAGGCCTAGGGAATGAATTGACAGCAAGGGGGATGAAGTATCTGGGACTCCTGAGATTTGCCAATCTGTAGGGCCAAGGAAGGTCTAGGGGGGTATCCTCCACCTGCCATATCTCCGAGGGGTATATTTCCATTCAACCCTTGCCCCTCTGGCCCCCTGACTACTGCTGGAAAGTCTTTCAAACTGTAGCCTCTGCTATGGATCTCAGTATTGGTGGAGTGTGCCTGTCCTCCACATTGGAGTCTCAGGCTCCCCAAATGTTCCTCCTGCCCCTGGTTTCCAGCCCTGCTAATCACCAGAAAAGAAAGTATTGTGGATTCATGCTCCCAGAGACATCCAGGGCCAATTATGTAGCACTCCTGGGTATCTACCTACACCCTGCTCTGTTCCACTTTATCCTGCCAATTGGCTGGGGTGGCAGTTCTGCTCCACATTAGCTCTTCCAATTTAACCTATTCTATGTGGTCCTCTTTTCTTCCTCAGGTGGAGGTAGCCTGTTCTGCAATATCCAGGTCATTTTCAGGTTTAATTGTATTTTTTATATTTTCTTCTTTTATGTGTTTTTGGGATGAGGAGACCTCCTTGCCTTTCTACTCTGCTATCTTTATTCAGAAGTCATGATGATTTTCTTTACTGTTATGATTAGATTTCTCTTTTTAAATTTTGTGTGTATCTATTATAGGCTTCATGTCTGTAGTTACCCTAAGGTTCAAAATAACTTCCTGTCTATATACCACTCTATATTAAGTTACTGATTGCACTATTTCCTTTTTTCTTCAATTTTTTTTAATTTTTTCATTTTGGTATCATTGATATACAATTACAGAAAGAACATTATGTTTACTAGGTTCTCCCCTTCACCAAGTCCCCCCCACATACCCATTCACAGTCACTGTCCATAAGCATAGTCAGATGCTATAAAACCACTACTTGTCATCTCTGTGTTGCACAGCCCTCCCCGTGACCCCCACACACTACACATGCTAATCGTAATGCCCTCTTTCTTTTTCCCTGCCCTTATCTCTCCCTTCCCACCCATTGTCCCCAGAACTTTTCCCTTTTGTAACTATCAGTCCATTCTTTGGTTCCGTCATCCTACTGCTGTTTTGTTCCTTCAGTTTTCCTTTATTCTTAAGCTCCACATATGAATGAAATCATGTGGTACTTGTCCTTCTCTGCATGACTTATTACACTGAGCATAATACCCTCTAGGTCCATCAATGTTGTTGCGAATGGTAGGATATGTTTTTTTCATATGGCTGCATAATATTCCATTGTGTATATGTACAACATCTGCTTTATCCATTCATCTACTGATACACATTTAGGTTGTTTCCATATCTTGGCAATTTTAAACAGTGCAGTGATAAACATAGGGGTGCATCTGTCTTTTTCAAACTGTAGTGCTGCATTCTTAGGGTAAATTCCTAGAAGTGGAATTCCTGGGTTGATTGGTATTTCTATTTTGAGCATTCTGAGGAACCTCCATACTGCTTTCCACAATGGTTGAACTAATTTACATTCCCACCAGCAGTGTAGGAGGGTTCTCCTTTCTGCACAACCTTGCCAACATTTGTTGTTGTTTGTCTTTTCAATGATGGCGATCCTTACTGGTGTAGGTGATATCTCATTGTGGTTTTAATTTGCATTTCTCTGACGATTAGCAATGTGGAGCATCTTTTCATGTGCCTGTTGGCCATCTGGATTTCTTCTTTAGAGAACTGTCTATTCAACTCCTCTGCACATTATTTAATTGGATAATTTACTTTTTGTTTGTTGAGGTGCACGAGCTCTTTATATATTTTGGATGTCAGTCCTATATCGTATCTGTCATTTACGAATGCTCTCCCATACTGTAGGATACCTTTTTGTTCTATTGATGGTGTCCTTTGCTGTGCAGAAGCTTTTTAGCTTGATATAGTCCCATTTGTTCATTTTTGCCTTTGTTTCCCTTGCCCAGAAAGATATGTTCATGAAGAAGTCACTCACGTTTATGTCCATGAGATTTTTGCCTATGTTTTCTCTAAGAGTTTTATGGTTTCATGACTTACATTCAGGTCTTTGATTCATTTGGAGTTTACTTTTGTGTAAGGGGTTAGACAGTGATCCAGTTTCATTCTCTTACATGTAGCTGTCCAGTTTTGCAGCACCATCTGTTGAAGAGACTGTCATTTCCCCATTGTATGTCCATGGCTCCTTTATCATATATTAATTTGCCATATATGTTTTGGTTAATGTCTGGAGTCTCTATTCTGTTCCACTGGTCTGTGGCTCTGTTCTTGTGCCAGTACCAAATTGTCTTGATTACTGTGGCTTTGTAGTAGAGCTTGAAGTTGGGGGGCAAGATTCCCCCTCCAGTTTATGCTTCCTTCTCAGGACTGCTTTGGCTATTCGGGGTCTTTGATGGTTCCATATGAATTTTTGAACTATTTGCTCCAGTTCATTGAAGAATGCTGTTGGAAATTTGATAGGGAATGCATCGAATCTGTATATTGCTTTGGGCAGGATGGCCATTTTGACAATATTAATTCTTCCTAGCCAGGAGCATGGGAT